GCCAGTAAGCGTTGTAATACTTTTCCCTCTTATGATGTTAATGCTCTTAATCAGTCTTTTATACGCTGTCCTTCTACTTTAACTACTTCTAATGTTACCTATCATGTAGCTGAAAACTTTCATGACTTTAATACTCTCGATGTTCTAAAATGTCTTAAAACACTCAAGCCCTCACGTAGCCTAGGTCCTGATGGTATACCTGCCTATGTTCTAAAACAATGTGCAGATGTGTTGTGTTCTCCACTAACCAACATCCTAAATGCCTCTTTCTCCAAAACTATCGTACCTGATGCATGGAAAGACATCAAAATTGTCCCTGTCCCTAAACCTGGAAACGGCAAGAACGTAAAGTTCAGACCCATTGCCATCACTTCCCCGTTCCTAAAGCTTATGGAAAAACTAATACTTCTTAAACTCGAACCCTCCCTTAAAAACTTCGAAGACCCAAAACAATTTGCCTATAGACAGGGTAGGAGTACATTAGACGCTGCAGCTGTCTTACACAACAACATCGTCTCATCATTAGATAAAGGTGCCAAATACGTCCGCTGCACGTTTCTTGACTTCACTTCTGCTTTCGACTCTGTTCCTAGATGTCTCCTGCTAAATAAGCTCTCTTTGACGAAAACTGAGTCATGGGTCACTAACTGGTTGCATTCCTACTTCTCAAACAGAATGCAGTACACCGTATATAAAGGTAAATCATCCTCTGCTGCACTCACTGAAGCCGGAGTCCCCCAAGGCGCTGTACTCTCCCCACCTCTCTTTTCTTCCTTTCTACACGACTTACCATCTTCAAATGACATTAATTTTGTCAAATACGCTGACGATTTGTCTGTATCTTTGCCTATCAAAGCGACTGCTCTAAACTCAATGGCTTTCTGTCAGAAATCAGCCAGTGGTCCAAGGAAAATGGTCTTACTCTAAACCCCTCCAAATGCCAAACAGTCAATTTCACCTTTAGGCATAAATCCGACCTAAACAAACTGTTTGGCTCTCACGAGGTATGCAACATAGACGGCACTGAAATAGAAACTAAATCGGAAATTAAATACCTAGGCGTCATTCTATCTGCTGATCTCTCCTGGTCGTCTCATATCTTAGCAATTTCTAAGAAAATATTCCGTCTTGCCTTCTACATTAAGAAGTTAAAACATTCTGGTATTACCCAACCCTTACTCCTACAATTCGTTAATTCTCGCATCCTGCCTATTATTCTCTATTGTTCCCCCTTAGTTTTTCCAGGGCTACTGAAGAAAGACTATAACATATTACGCAGGATGTTAAATGTTGTCAGCAGAGTAAGCAACGTGCCACTTAACCAGCTTGTTAATATTTTGGTTGACAGGCACATGGACTCATGTGAAAAATGGGCCAAATCCATTTTATCTAACTCACACCACCCTCTACACTCACAACTCTCCCCTTGCATCTCATCAGGTAAAACAAGAAGCCAATATAGAAAACTATATGCTCGCACCAGCAAGTACAAAAACTCAACCATACCCTACTTAGCTCGTGTTCTGTGTGATAAAGAAAGCATTAGGCGTGACACCTATAATTCATTAAATAGTCACTAGTACAACTGGATCTCATCTTT